AGGGAGCCGGAGAGCGCGTGCGAGGCCCTGCCTGGGCCCGGGCCAGGGCTGGCCGAGCTTGCCCTCCTCCGGCCGCCGCTGGCCCGACCCCCGGCCGCGGCGCTCAGACCCCGCTGGCCCCCTGGTTGGGGCTGTCGGGTTTTGCGGGGTGCCTGGTGTATGGGGTGGGTGCCTAGAGAGAGGGAAGGAAGAGAGAGAGAGAGAGAACTGCGAGTTACCTGCCTCTCTCGTTCCTGGGTGGGACACCTGGGGGCCGGGGGAGGGACCCGGGGCATCAGTGCCTCCGCCTGCGAATGGAAATGATTTTCTCCTAAGTAACGCCGAGTTCAAATTTCAGTTTTGCAACTCACCTTCTGCATTATGGAAGGTGCGTTACTGGGGCCCCTGACCCCAGTTCACCCTTGTCCCAAACACAGCACAGTCCTGTGCCAGACATTCCCTGGAGTCATTTGTGCGATGCGTTTGTGGCGCAATGGCATATTTATCTAGAAATCCGTAGAGACGCGGTGTGTGGAGTACCAGCGTGCTGAGCGTTTGGCTAAGCGCTTTGATCAGATGCCGCCAACCCCTTTTTACAGAGCAGGCTACTGGGTGAGGCTCGGGGGGTTACATTACCTGCTCAAGGGCACAAGTTCTAAGTGGTGAAACAGAGTCAGACCCACAATGTGTCTCGCATGTCTGCGTGGACATTGCACCTCCGGAAAGCGCTGTGCGGGTGAGGCCAGTAGTTCAGGGAAATCCTGGTGACCCCTGGGAGACAGTTGTTTTTCTTGTCGTGTAGGCGGGAGAAGCAGGCCCGGGGTCGGGGGGGGGGGGGGGGGGGGATGTGACCTGCTGTGGCCTGTGCATCTCTCCCCCGCCCGCCCTGTTGTCTCTTTGATGACCCTGCGCCCTCTTCTCCCCCAGGACCCGCTACATCAGCACGGAGCTGGGCATCCGGCAGAGGCTGCTTGTGGCCGTGCTGACCTCCCAAGCCACGTTGCCCACGCTGGGAGTGGCCGTGAACCGCACGCTGGGCCACCGGCTGGAGCGCGTGGTCTTCCTGACAGGCGCTCGGGGCCGCCGGGCCCCGCCGGGCATGGCAGTGGTGACCCTGGGCGAGGAGCGGCCCATCGGGCGCCTGCACCTGGCGCTGCGCCACCTCCTGGAGCAGCACGGCGACGACTTTGACTGGTTCTTCATCGTGCCCGATGCCACCTACACCGAGGCCCACGGACTGGCTCGCCTAGCCGGCCGTCTCAGCCTGGCGGCCGCCGCCCACCTCTACCTGGGCCGGCCGCAGGACTTCATCGGGGGAGAGCCCGCCCCAGGCCGCTACTGCCACGGCGGCTTTGGGGTGCTGCTGTCCCGCACACTGCTGCAGCAGCTGCGCCCCCACCTGGAAGGCTGCCGCAACGACATCGTCAGCGCGCGCCCGGATGAGTGGCTGGGCCGCTGCATCCTGGACGCCACGGGGGTGGGCTGCACCGGCGACCACGAGGTGGGCACGGAAGCCGCCCCACCCGGGCCTCCCGTCTGAGCATGTGCGCTCGCCCCCCCCCCCAGAGGCGAAGGGGTGGTGGGAAGTAAGAGGTCTGGGTTTTCCGTGCCAGTGCTGTCACTTTGTATCTCTGTAACCTTGGGTGAATCACTGCACCTCCTGAACCTTGGCATCCTCCTCCATACCAACAAAAATAACTATTGCTCAGGGTTGTCGTGGGGATTAGAAAAAACAACGTGAGGGATTAGCCTCACACAGAGTAGGTGTTCAGTGTTGGCTGTTATTATTTTATTTGAGCCCCTGCACAGCTCTGAGGTAGGATGTGTATGCCCATTGCACAGATGAGCCAGCAGAGGCTTGCCCAAAGTCACACAAGGTCACAACTGGTCAAGGTAGCCTTCAACCTGGTAATTCTGACTCCAGGTCCACAACAGGTCATAGGGTGGGAAACTGAGGCCCACACTGGGAGGCGGGTGGCGAGGCTGTCCCATCGCTCTTCCCATTATGGACCCCCTTCCCTTCCTCTTGCCAGGGAGTACACTATAGCTACCTGGAGCTGAGCCCTGGGGAGCATGTGCAGGAGGGAGACCCCCGTTTCCGCAGCGCCCTGACGGCCCACCCTGTGCATGACCCCGTGCACATGTACCAGCTGCACAAAGCTTTTGCCCGAGCTGAGCTGGAACGCACATACCAAGAGATCCAGGAGTTGCAGGTATGGTCTGGGCCCGGGGAATGGAGGGGACATATCCCAAGACATCTGAGAGATCCCAGAGAAATTAAAACTAGCAGTAGAGTCAGAGATCAAACTGGTTGCCCAGTGCCTGTTTGTTTCTGCCTTTTCTGAAAAGCTCTTTCAGAAACCTCCTTTTTAACTCTTAGGCTGTCCCCATCTGGGAAAAGGATAGGTGAGGGTGCTGGGATAGCGGAGGTTGGCGGAGGGCCAGGCACCCACCCCAGGGAGCACCTGCTGGCTGCTTAGGCCTCCGGCTACGTGCCGGCGCCCGTGGTCTTTGCCTTGCTCATGGTCTTATTTCTCCAACCTAGTGGGAGATCCAGAACACCAGCCACCTGGCAGCTGACGGCGAGCGGGCGGCCGCCTGGCCCGTGGGCATTCCCGCACCGTCCCGCCCGGCCTCTCGCTTCGAGGTGCTGCGCTGGGACTATTTCACAGAGCAGCACGCCTTCTCCTGCGCCGACGGCTCGCCCCGCTGCCCGCTGCGAGGGGCCGACCGGGCCGACGTGGCCGACGTGCTGGGCGCCGCCCTGGAAGAGCTCAACCGCCGCTACCACCCGGCCTTGCGGCTCGAGAAGCAGCAGCTGGTCAACGGCTACCGGCGCTTCGATCCTGCCCGCGGCATGGAGTACACGCTGGACCTGCAGCTGGAGGTGCTGACCCCGCAGGGCGGCCGCCGGCCCCTCACCCGCCGGGTGCAGCTGCTGCGGCCCCTGAGCCGCGTGGAGATCCTGCCTGTGCCCTACGTCACCGAGGCGTCGCGTCTTACCGTGTTACTGCCTCTGGCTGCGACCGAGCGGGACCTGGCCCCTGGCTTCCTGGAGGCCTTCGCCACCGCGGCACTGGAGCCGGGCGACGCGGCCGCAGCACTGACCCTGCTGCTCCTGTACGAGCCACGACAGGCCCAGCGGGCAGCCCACGCAGATGTCTTTGCGCCTGTCAAGGCCCATGTGGCGGAACTGGAGCGGCGTTTCCCGGGTGCCCGGGTGCCCTGGCTCAGCGTGCAGACGGCCGCACCCTCGCCGCTGCGCCTCATGGACCTGCTCTCCAAGAAGCACCCGCTGGACACGCTGTTCCTGCTGGCCGGGCCCGACACGGTGCTTACGCCCGACTTCCTGAACCGCTGCCGCATGCACGCCATCTCTGGCTGGCAGGCCTTCTTCCCCATGCACTTCCAGGCCTTCCACCCGGCCGTGGCGCCCCCCCAGGGCCCCGGGCCCCCGGAGCTGGGCCGAGACACGGGCCGCTTCGACCGCCAGGCAGCCAGCGAGGCCTGCTTCTACAACTCCGACTACGTGGCGGCCCGCGGACGGCTGGCAGCGGCCTCGGAGCAGGAGGAGGAGCTGCTGGAGAGCACGGACGTGTACGAGCTGTTCCTGCGCTTCTCGGGCCTACACGTGCTGCGCGCCGTGGAACCAGCGCTGCTGCAGCGCTACCGGGCGCAGGCGTGCAGCGCGCGGCTCAGCGAGGACCTGTACCACCGCTGCCGCCAGAGCGAGCTGGAGGGCCTGGGCTCCCGCACCCAGCTGGCCATGCTGCTCTTTGAGCAGGAGCAGGGCAACAGCACCTGAGCCCGCCCCGCGCCCCGGAACCCTGGCACGGTGGCACCCCCTCCTCCCCAACGACCCGCAGCCCCCTGCCAGCCTCGCCGGACAGGGCTGGCCGCGGCCTCGGATCCCAGGGCAGCCTGCGGGCCCCGCTGTCTAGCTGTGTGGGTCCTCGGGCTCAGGACAGGCCCCCCGGGGGAGGTACCTTCGGAGCCACTCTTCCCCGCTCCCAACCTGGTCTCCCTGTCCCCCACCCTTGACGCTGCTGATTCAGGCTGTGGCCCCTTGAGTATTTATGCAGTGCAGTCTGCCTGACGCCAGCCCCATCTCCTAGGACCTCCTGGGGGTGGGCTGTAGATGAGTGGTTGGGGACGAGGGGAGCCGAGAGAGGAAGGTGGGGTATCTCCCAGCTTCTCCCTTCTGGACCTGGATGAAGCTCCCTGCCTTTAATAAACTGGTTGAGTGTGGACTAATGATTCTGAGTTTTCAAAAGGTGGCATGGGGACTGCGGGGGGCCAGAGGGGCTGGCGGTGAGGACGGAGGCTCCCTAGTCCTGGCTGGGCCCGGGTTTCCTTTTCCTGGGGACACAGCCATGACTGTGCCCAGCCCTGCTCCAGCTCCCCACCTGGTCATACAGGCACAGAGAATTCTTTATGCCTCTTTATTCTCAGTCTCGTCAACGCCTTATAAAACCAGACTGGAGGCAGAGAGGCCCGTGGAGAAGGCTCCCTCCCTGGCCCCCAAGCTCAGCCAGGGTCTGGTAGGTTGGTCTGCTCCCTGTGGAGGGGATTCTGAAGGTGGAGTTGGGGCAGGGGGAACTGGGAGCTGCGCCAGGCCTGCTGGGCCACCCAGTCCCCCTGCCGAGAGGGGAGCTGGGCCTGGAGAGGGACAGGAAGTAGGACCAGCCCAGCACTCCTGAGTCCTGGGGGGTCTCCCTCTCCTGCTGACGTTTCCCAGGCTGGGTCCCTGGCTGTCCCTGACTCACCCACCCCCATAGCCCCACCGGCTTCTACATCTCTACCCCCACCCCCACCCCCTCCTCCCTAAATATATACAAATGTACAGGGGGTTCCACCCCTACTGGAGTGGGCCCCTTCCTCCCCACCCCTCCAGCCCTCCCTGGGCACCAGCCTGGGGGTGGGTGGGAGGGCGATGGACAAGAAGGGCCCCTGTGCAAAGCAGCTGGTGCCAGAGCTGGTGAGAGCCTGCACCGAGTCCCCGCCCTCCCGGTGAGCACCGCTGCCTCCCCCTCCCCATGGGCTGCCCCCAGGCCTTGGGTCCCAGGAGCAGGAGGAGACTGTTGGGGATCCTGGGAGGGGTCCCAGACTCCTGGGTCTTTTTCCACACAGCACCATCCTAGCAAGCAAAGTCTTCAAAGAGGCCTCCTCGGGGGCCCGGAGGGTGGTGGTGGTTGGGGAGCAGGCCACTGGCTCCCCCACCCTCAACGTGGCTGCGGCTTGGGCAGGGACTCTGCAAGGTGAAGAGGGAGTGAGACGTGGACCACGCGAGCCAGACCTCCATGCCCCACACAGCTGGCCTTTCCTCGTGCCCCGGGGCCAGGGCTTGAGGGCTGCTGAGGCCTTGGGTCCCAGGAGAGGCCACTGGCTACCCTCTGCAGAGCAGAGCTCATCCTCACCTGCTCTTTCAGCTCCTGCAGCCCCAGCGTGGAGATGCCCCCGGTGGAGGTCCGCAGGGGTGTCTTGGGACGGCGCCACACCCGCTTCAGTCGGTCCCAGGACACCTTGGGGTTCGGGGGAGGGGACAGCAGTGGACTCAGGAAACTTGGTAGAGGCCCAGGCCCACCACGTAGGACCTGCTGCCCCACACCCCCTAATCCTCCCCGCCCATCCCCTTCTCCTAACTCTTCAGCACCCTCACGCCTTCTAGCCCATCAGGAGATCAGAAACCCCAAGCTGGACTTCGCAGCCAGGTCGGCTGCATCAGGAAACCTGTACTGCCCTCACTCCCCCTGCTTTTCCCACAGCCCCTCCTCCCACCTGCACACCCCTGCTGGGTGGCTCCCCCAGGCCCCCAACCCTTGCCTCATAGATGTAATCTAGGATCTCCAGCAGTGTGAGGATGCTGGCCCCGATGAACAAGCCCATCTGTCCCCCGAGGTCTCCTGGGGGGCATGAGAGTGAGGTCAGAGGCACAGGCGAGGCTGAGTCACCCCCACGGAATCGGGTCAGGGCCATGTCTCACCCAGCAGCGCTGACAGGCCATAGGCTGCTCGCTGCTCCATGGCCTCAGACGTCAGGGCTTCAAAAAAGACATCTAGGACCAGGAAGTTCTCCCTGTGGAGACAGGAAGCAGGGTGTTCCCCTCGGCTGTGTCCTGAAAAGGGGGCTGGCAGGGACATCTGGGTCCAGCAGACTCTGATCCGAGGTCCCCTGCACCAGGAAGCCCATGACCACCCTCAGACCCCCAAAGGCTGTGATTGGAGACAGTCCCACATGCATGTCTGTGTCATATTTCGAAGTTAGCCAAGGGCCTGGGAGAGCAAAATAAAATCCCTGGACCTGAAGGAGTCCCTCCTGCCTCCTGCTGTAAAAGTGCAAATGGCGTTCACTCCGCATCATCACAATACCTTTCTAGAACTTTCAGTGACTCCCTATTGCTCAAGAATCCACCCCAAATTCTTTTTCCGGACTTCCAAGACCACCCATGACCTGAGCCTTCTTATCCAGACTCCTTTCGTATCTGCTTCTCGCCACACAGCCTGCCGGCCGCTCAGGCTGATCCCACAGTTCTCTAGTTGGGACGCCTCCTCCCTCCTCCTCCTCCTCAGAGGCCCGGCTCTTGCCTCCCCTGCTTCGTCCCGTTAATCTCAGTGGTGGCCTGACAGTCAGTAGCACACCATCAGATATGGCCTCATCCACACATTGTGGTGGGAGCTTCGTGGAGCCATCAGCTCTGTCCCCACAGGACCCACACCCTGGCACCCTGGCAGCCACAGGCTGTTGAGCATTTGTACATCGGCTGCAGGGGACCAGACCCCAGGCTCGGTGAGGCCTCTCCTGCCGGCCACCTTGTCCCTCTCCCTCCACACACCATTCACTCAGTGTGCATTTAACGGTCCCCAGGGTCCTGGGGGAGGAAGACACGAGCAGAGGGTGGTAAGCCGACAGGTGGGTGCAATGAGAGAGAGAGAGAGAGAGAGAGAGAGAGAGAGAGAGGTACAGGCTGCTGTGGGAGCTCAGAGGAAAGGCGTTTGGATCTCCAAGGGCCTCCCTGGAGGCGCCTGGGCGGCTCAGTTCGTAAAGCATCTGCCTTCGGCTCAGGTCATGATCCCGGGGTCCTGGGATTGTGTCCCACGTCGGGCTCCCTGCTCTTCAAGGAGCCTGCTTCTCCCTCTCCCACTGCCCCTCCATCTGCTCATGCTCCCTCTTTCTCAAATAAATTAATAAAAATTTTTATTAAAAAAAAAAGCCTCCCCGGAGGTGGGGACACGCAAGTGACTTGGAGGATGGGTAGGGATTAATTAGAAGAAAAGGATTGTGAAAGGCAGCCCCGGCGGGAGCCTCGCTCCCAAGAAAGATGCAGCCCCTCCCGGTCTCCACCAGGCGCCGGCCCTGCTGAGCGTGGCAACCACTACACGCGCGTGCACACACCCGCGCACACACGCACCGGATGTAGGTCTCGTTGCGGTTGTACTTCCTTGCCAGGTACCGGGCCGAGCCCCTGTTGGGGATCCGGACCATGGAGATTTCCTTCCCGTAGCGAGTCAGGTTGCAGGGAGTAGGGCAGAAACACGGGCCCTCGGAGCCCCCACCCAAGGAGTCTGCAACACAGAGGCACCAACTGCAGTAGGGGAGGGCGGGGGCCCAGGGGCCCGGCTGCTGGGAGAAGGCCCAGGGGCTGTCCCGACGCAGGCATCGTCCCCGTCCCTGTGAGGGCCCCACTGCCTAGGGGAGCCTCGTTGGGGTGCCTCCCTCAGACTCCCTAGGAAAGCGGGTGAGGACAGAAACCCAGCACCCTCCTGCAGCCTTATCCTTCTGTGTCCCAGCCCCCCGGGGCCGAGAAGTCCTCACGGCTCAGACGGAGGACACAGCCCATGCACGGAGCTAATCAATCACACGAGGCCTCAAGACACACACCGGGCTCGGGAGGACGCCGGATGAATGGGATCATATGCTTGTTTTTACATGAGCAGATGGATGAGTGGGCGGATGGATGGACAAATGGGCAGAAGGACAAATGCTATGTTTAATGTGCTGGATTTTCTCGGGGCGCCCGGGAGGCTCAGTCGGTTAAGCATCCGACTCTTGGTTTTGGCTCAGGTCGTGATCTCACAGGTCCAGGTCCGGCTCAGCGGAGAGTCTGCTTGAAGATTCTCTCCCTCTGCCCCTCCCCTGGCTTGTGTGTGTGCACACGCTTGCTCTCTCTCCAATAAATAGGTAAATAAATCTTTTTTAAAAATATGTGGGTTTTCTCTGTTCCCCTCTTCAGATCCACTCTCCAGGGTCCCTCACTTCCTGGAGCCCAGGAGGTGGGGCTCTCTGCCGGAGCATCACCTAGACTCCCTTGTCTTCTGGCTTTGGGTTGGGTTCGGCCAATGGGAGAGACCCCAGCAAGGTCAGAGGGTAAGGAGGGGACAGACGCCAGGGTACTTCTTTCCCTGCTTCCTCTCCACCAGGCACCGGTTGCCTGAGGCTGCTTCTCCCTCTTGTGGCCACAGCATCTGGCCTCTGGGAGAGCCACAGATGGCTGCCTGGGCCCCAGGGGTGCTCCTTCCCTAACCCCCCAGGCCCCAGCAACTAAAGTCTACCTGGTGTTGCTAGTTCTGTGGGGTTTCACCATCCTTGTGGTCCCCGTGTCCCCGCTCACACATTTGCCCCATCATCAGCCATACTTCCATTGCCCCTTTGGCTGATGCGCTTGGGATGCGGGACAGAGAAGGTCTTGGGGTGGTTCCCCTGCCCATCCGCTCTCCCTCCCTGAAGCCTCGCCATCTGGACTATTGCAACGGTCTCCCGACCCTTTGCCCTGCTTCTGCTCCAAGTCCTCGCCATCCCTTTTCCGCAGCTGATCAGAGTCACCTTGCTAACATCAGATGGCATTCTTGCCTTGCCTTTAGCCAACGTGGGCTTCCCAGAGCCTCCTCCACTCCTGCCGCCCCCTCCTGTGTTCTCTGCCCTCCAGCCACACTGACCTTTCAGTGCACAGCCTCCCGCCCCCCCCCCAATACACACACACACTCTCTGGCTCTCTGAGGCCCCCGATGTTTATCTAGCATGGGGCTGTTCCCCCTGCCTACACGATGCCCCCTGCTTTTCACCAGGCTGGCTCTTCCATACCCTTCAATCTCAGCAAATCAATCATTTCCTCCCGGGATCCTCCCGCCTTCCCAGGTGGAGCTGCAGGCTCCTCCCTGGGGCCTTGTAGCAGCCCTGAGATTCCCCTCTCCAAGGACCAGCGTCGTCCCCTCTCCAAGGCCATCGCAGTGCCCGTCCACAGCCCTGCTGGCCAGGAAGCTCCAGGAGGGCAGCCTCTTGGCCCCGCTCTCACCTCCAGCACCAGCCCACGCTGGCAACATCTGCAGAAGAAGGGGTGGATGGATGGATGGACGGATGGGTGGATGAGTGAATCGCAGCCCGCGGGAGACCTACGGACAGGTGGCGCTTGCCTGACCCACACGGATGCTCAGCAGCGCATCTCCCCTCGGACCAAGAGAGAAGTCATTGCACTTTCCCAGAGAACAAGAACTCGTTTGCTGAGCCACGACAGAAGCCCAGCCCCTCACTCCCGGTCCTGAGTTCTCTGCACTCACCCCCACCCTGCTGCCTCCACTTACCCAAGTGTCCACACCCGTAAAGTCCTCAGAACCCCTGGAAGTATGGGATAAGGCTCGACCCCGGGGAGGTACCAGCCAGGGAGAGACTGGGAGTGGGGCAAGGCAGTGAGGGGAACAGTGGACAGAGAGAGACAAAGAGGAGGAGGGTGGAGAGCCGGGCGGGGGGGGGGGTGTGCAGGCGCAGCACGGACCCAGTGTGTGGTCAGCACACTCGATGTAGATATTGGGCGGGCAGATGGTCTCGTTGCCTGAAAGGAGAGAAGATTATTCCTGGAGTCTACGGTTCCACCCCCTCTCCCCCACCATATCCCCAAATGTGGGCACACACGTGCACACACATGCACACACGTTCGTGCATCCCTATACGTGCATGAGCTTGTACGCGCTTGTGCATGTCCGCCTGCAAATGTACACATGCATATATGCGTGCCAACATACACACACGAGCGTGTGCGCGTGCACACACACACCGGTATGCGTGCGTGCAAGCACAGGCACACAAGCACAAATGTACGTAAGCACACGTATGCGCACACATTAACGTGCCCACAAGCATGCACGTGTGCATTCCCAAATGCATATGTGAAAACAGAAAATTTCAAACGGGTACGTGTCCGTTTCAGCTCTGGTCACGATTGCGGGGGCCTTGAGATCAAGCCCCCCATGGCTCCGTGCGCAGGAAGGAGTCGGCTTCTCTCTCTATCCCTCCGCACCCCTCCCCTGGCCCCTCACGCCTCCCAACCCCCTCCCCGTTCTCGTGCACTCGAGCTCTCTCTGTCTCAGAGAAATAAATAAATCTCTTTTAAAAAATCCCAAACGCATACACTCACATGAGTATAGACACGCACACAGGTTGTTGTACACATGCACTTGCTCGTGCACATGAGCAGCGTCCTGCCCCGGGAGGTTCTGCGGCCTGGCCGGGCGGCACGGAGGGATGGCGGGAGGGTAGGGTGCCCACCTGGCATGTGCACCATCCGGCAGTGGCAGCGCTGAAGCACGGCCTCTTTTTCACAGCGCAGCCGGCAGGCAGACACACTGTAGGCTGAGTAGCCCTGCAGCTCAGGCTCCCTGAGCCCGCTCTCCGTGCGGCAGTTGCCCCAGGGCTGGGGCAGATAGGTCAGCTGCAGAGGGTGGGCACATGGGGTCATGCCCAAGAGTCCCACCTGGCCCTCCACTGCCCACGGCCCCAGCAAAGGCCACGGTGGGGGGCTGGGGGGCTGCGAGCCTCCGACGGGCATGTCCGGTCAGCATCCCCTCTGGGCCCGAAGACCCTGCCCAATGCCCCGTCCAGGGCCCCACCCAGGGAGGTGCTCACCCGCTGTTCTTGGCAGGACACGAAGGTCTGGAAGCCTGGGGACACGCCGAAGCCCAACTGGTGGATGTAGGGTGGCTCTTCTTGGCTATGGATCTGCACTCGGATGCCAGCCTCAAACGACGTCTCATCTGCACAGTGTAGATGGGGACCTTTGGAAACCCATTCCAGGGGCGCCTGGGTGGCTCAGTGGGTTGAGTGTCTGCCTTTGACCCAGGTCATGATCCTGGGCTCCTGAGATCGAGCCCACCTCAGGCTCCCCACTCAGGAGGGTCTGCTTCTCCGCCTCCCTCTGCCTCTCCCTCTGGGCTGTGCTGTCTCTCGCTCACACACTCAAATAAATAGATGAAATCTTTTTCAAAACATAAAAAATAATGTAAAAATTTAAACAAAATTAAAAGAAAGGAAACCCATCCCCGGCAGAGGGCCCAGGCTGGAGCCCCCCAAGTTTGCCCCAGTCCCTTTCCTGGCATACTTGTCTCTCTCCAGATGGGCAGGTATTCCTCTTGCTGGATGTCCAACATGATCTCCAGGCCACTGCCCATGCCTCCTGCCCGACTGGGCAGTGAACTCTGTGGATCCGCGTTGAAGGTGTAACACTTCCCATAGCGAGTATAGACCTGCCGGGTAAAGAGAGGAGGAGAGGAGATGGATGGAGGGACTAAGACAATTTTTTAAGCTCAAAGTTTCCTGTCCTGCGAGCAGGCCGCCGCACCTGCTGGATCCCACAGCCCAGACTCTCCCCAAGCCTCTCCCCCAAGCTTCTAGTGACACATCCTCTCTTAGACAATCAAAAGGCATCTCCAGCGTAACATCTCAGTAGCAGAGCTCTTGGGGCGCCCGGGGGGCTCAGTGATTGAGCATCTGCCTTCAGCTCAGGGCGTGATCCCGGGGTCCTGGGTTCGAGTCCTGCATCGGGCTCCCTGCTCAGTGGGCAGCCTGCTTCTCCCTCTGCCTGTCTCTCTGCCTCGTTCTCTGTGTCTCTCATGAATAAATAAATAAAATCTTAAAAAAAAAAATAGGAGAGCTCTTGCTGTCTTCCCAACTCCTGTGCCCTCCTCCAGTTTCTCAAGTCAGAATCCCAGACACTTCCCTCTCCCTCACCCCTACGTTCAATCCAGCATGGGTGCCGGGCAATTCTACCTCGGAAATCTATTTAGAATCCAACCACTTTCCTGGCGCCTGGGAGGCTCAGATGGTGGGGCGTCTGCCTTCAGCTTGGGTCAAGATCTCAGGGTCCTGGGATCGAGTCCCACATCTGGCTCTGCGGGCAGCCTGCTTCTTCCTCTGCCTCTCCCCCGCTCACTCTGTCTCTGTCTCTGTCTCTCTCTACCTCTATCTCTCTGTCTCCACTGCATAAATAAAATCTTAAAAAAAAAAAAGAATCCCACCACTTTCCTTCCATCTCGTGCCCCTCCCTCTCACCATCATCTCCCACCTGGCCTGGTGGTGAACCTTCATCTTTCCGGGCCCTTCCCCACGTAGTAGCCAGAGCGCCCACTATAAAGGGCATGGATCCGATCAAGTCCCTTGCTGGCTCGAAACCCAGCATTTCCCGGAGAATAAAACCAAACTCCTTTCCCGTCCTGAGAGTCTCCATGCGGTGTGATCTCTCCTGCCACCCCACCCCACCCCTAGGTCTCCATGACAAATTCAAACTTATGGTGCCCTTCCTTCCCCTGGCCTTTGCTCCCCCGCCTGGAAGGCCGCCCCCAACCCCATCCTTTAAGTCTCAGCTGCAGTGTCCCCTCTTCACACCCATGTGCACACACCACATACACACGCAGCACAACCCTCCCCCCGGGGGGCTCGGTGTCGGTCGGTTTGCTCAGTACTCATCGAGACCTGAGATGATCTCGTTCCTCTGTTTGTCCTCTTGTCCAGTGTCCATCTCTCCCCGGGGAGGTCTATGGCCCACGGGGGCAACGAGTCTGTCTGGTGTCCCCAGCCAGGCCTGAGCCCAGCACGAGGGGCGCGTCTAAGCAGTGCCTGCCGCGCTCCCCGGACGGTTCCCGGGCACGGACACCAGATGGCGCCGGCGCCCCGGAGATGAGGCCGAGGCCCCGCCGGCGGGGGTCGGAGGAGCGGCGGAGCCGAGGCCCCGGCAGCCAGGCTCACCCCACAGAGACGAGCCCCCGGGTCAAACCCATCACAGGCAGCACCTTCCCTGGGGGCAAGGGGTCCGTGCCCTCAATCACTCGCGCGCTCCCCCTCCCCGCTCCTTGGGAACAGTTGGCCTGGTAAGAGCTGGGAGCAAAGGCTCGTCGGTGTTGGGGAGAAGATATCCTAGATGCCTGGCTTCCCAGAGGGTGCAGGAGGGAGAGGGGCTGGGGTGGGGCCGCAGGACGGAGGATCTCTAAGTGGGGCCGGGTGCGGGGGCAGGGCTCCCATGCCCCCTAGGCTAATCAATACCCACCCCCCTTGGTGCTCTCCTCTCACCCAAACACCCTGCCTCTCAGTCCTCAAACAAAAATGGGCACATAGGGACGCCTGGGTGGCTCAGCGGTTGAGCATCTGCCTTCACGCCCGGGGCGTGATCCTGGGGTCCCTGGATGGAGTCCTACATTGGGCTCCCTGCATGGAGCCTGCTTCTCCCTCTGCCTGTGTCTCTGTCTGCCTTTCTCTCTCTGTCTCTCATGAATAAATGAATTAAATGAATAAAATCTTTTTAAAAAATGGGCACATAGCAAGCCCCATGCAACCTACAAAATGTGGCACCACCACCCCACCACCCCATTTCCTGCACTCAGCAGCTCTGGCATTGATAGGGTTAATGAACCCTATTTTTATAGACCAGGAAAGGACAGCTCAGAGAGGTGATGTGACTTGCTCCAGTCATACAGTCAGTCAGCTAGACGGTGGGAGGACTGGAATTCATCAGGATGCAAGACTTGAGCTGTTCCCACAGCCCAGTGCCGGCAACTGCCCACCCGCCCACCCAAGCCCAGCCGAAATGAGACAGGTGTGTGACCCCACAGCCTTCGGTCCCCTCTTCCCCTCTCCCTCCTTCCCTTCCACTGCACTCCCGCACACCTTCCTCAGTCTTTGCTGCTTCTCCCATCCTCACCTGTGCCCCCCCCTTCCTGCTCGGCCCCCTGGCCAACTTCTGGGTTCCAGTCTGCGGCCCTGCCGCATCCCCCCTGCACTAAAGCTAAATGCTCAACATGGCCTTTCCAATGGCATCCCCACAGATGAAGAGATGGAGGCTCAAAGAGGTGGGCTGATGGACCAGGGTCTCCAAGATCAGTGCTTCAGTGTGCACACAAAGCCCCTGGGGACCTGGTTAGAACACAGATTCTGACTCAGTAATGTGTGTTGGCGGGAGAGGGGGGTGAGCAAGACTGAGATTGTGCGTTTCTGACAGCCTGCGGGTCCATGGACTGCCCTTTGAGTAGGAAGGCCCTGAATGAATGGGCGGTAGCCCAGTAAGCCGGCTCCACTGTAGACCTGTGCTCTGACAACACGTCACTGGAGAGAGGGGAACCCCCCACCCAAACAGGCTGGGTGTGAAATTCCTAGATCCCCAGGGGGTGTGGGAAAGACAGATGGGGGGAATACAGAAGTATTTGCCTCAAATCTCAAGGCACCCACCCTCTTCCTACTTAGGGCCAAAAAAGATGCTGGAATCCACTCTTGCCGATGCTGCCGGTTTAGACACGCTCTAGTTGAGAGGCTAAGCAAGGCATGGGCTGTATGGGGGACCCAGGCAGGGAGCTGCCCTCGGCCCCCCGCCCACCCCCACCCCCAGGGTGCTGCACCACCTCGGCTCTCCCTGACCACCAGGAACCCTCAGGGCCTCTCCGCAGCTCAGCCCAAGCCTGGGACTGCGAACTCCCCGTGGCCGGGAGCCACAGTTGGCGCCTTGGCTTGCAAGGAGCCCAGCATGCCTTGTGGAAGGAGGTGTGAGTGGAGGGAAGGAGTGCCAGGTGAAGCCTCCCAAAGGTCCGGTGCTAGGGTGCTTCTGATTTTCTCCTTTGAGCCTTTGAGAACACTCCAGGAGGAAAGTTAGCTCAGACTTTAATGGTGAGGAAGCTCAGAAGGGGAAAGTGGCTTGGCTAAGGGCCCACAGGAAGTAAAGGACAGAGACTCTAGCAGAACCGAGCCCAACGTCAAGGCGGGGTTGGTGCCTATAAGCCCCTGGCAGGGATTCAGTGAATAAATGACTCTCCTGGGCTCCTGACCCGGGGCAGGGCTTGGTGGCCTCCTTCCCTGTCTGCAGGGACGCGCACGACCCGAGGCCCAGCCTCCGGAGGGGGCAGTTGCCTGGCACCCCTGACCTTGAGGGGCTGATGCAGAGTGGGGGTGGCGGAGGGGCTGGTGGGTACACTCCGCGGGGACTGGACGGGCCAGACTGGCGGGGCCACCTGCGCAGCCCAGGTCAGGCCCGACTGCTGGGCAGAGGGAGCGTTGCCCCGGAGACGGTCTCGGGCCAGGCAGGCAGCGGCGGGTGGAACTGCCAGCTCCTAAGTGGCAGAAGTCTGGTGGCAGCACAGCCCACAGCCTCTTCCATGGAGACGGCACGGCAGCTCCGCCTCAAGGTCCCACCGGCAGGCCACTGCTCTCCTCCCTATGGACTGGCCCTATGTGTGTCCGGGAGAGTCCAGGGCCCAGCCGTGGCGAGGGGCCGGGCAGGGCCAGCGTGTGCCTTGACAGGCCACGGGTCTTCTCCAAATGACCCCCCCCATCAGCCTTTGAGCCCTGTCCCCATCTCAGCCCTCTGTCTTGGCTTCCAGGCCCCCTCACCTGACCCGAGGCTAAGTGCATGGCCTCCCGGAACCCTGGGCCCAGGCTGGACAGCTTCCAGACGAGACTCTCCCTCGTTGTGTGTGGACCCTGGCACCCCTCCCTTCCCTGTTTCTGGCCAGCCCTCTGCCCGTCCCTCTCAGAGTGCTTCACCCTTTCTTGGCCTGGCCCCTGGCCTGGGTTTGCCTCCAGAGTCTCTGTCCCCTGATCTTGGTGTGTGTCCCAAGGGCCTTCGCTGTTCTCCTGGCCTGGCTGTCCTTGGCATCTGAGAAATGACCCATCTGACCTCTGTCTCTCTGTCTGTCACCCCGGCCTCTGTCATCCTCCCCCATTGGCCTGACTGCCCCCTGTCCTCTCTGTTCCTCTGCCTTCTGCACCTGCACCCTGCTTATCTTTAGCTGAGGTGTCCAGTCTCTGTCTCTTGTCTTCCTACTAGACTTTTCCCTCTGCCTGAAGCGGCCCCTGTCAAGCCAGGAACCCCTCGCCAGATGTGCTTCCCTCCTTCTCCTCCCTGCCCCCTCGGCCAGGTCTCCCCTGGATGACATCAGAGCTTGGGAGAAATCTGTCCAGAGCTCTCTACTCGGAGCAGTGGCTCCTCACAGCCCCTTTGGTTCCATCCATCCACGGCTCCCATTTCCCCAGAAAGCTCTCCTTGGCTGCCTGGCTTGCATGCACCCCCAGCCCTCCCCAGCCCTCCTCCTCTCTGCAGCCACGGAGCCCACGGGGTTAACAGCCAATTAGCAGGGCCAGGACTCAGAGCGGTGGGGGGAGAGGGCCCTGGGCCTCCAGGAGATAAGAAGCAGCCAGGAGCAGCCGAGAGGTTGGACTAATCCTGGAGCTAATCTGCGGCCTGGGCTTTTATCTCCACTGGCCTTCT